AAAAGATTATTATAAAAAAATCCGCACCAAATCACATGATACCTCCCCCAAGTACCATACGCCATTTAGATAATTACATTTTGAGCAATGCTAGGGGCACTCGCTTTTCGCACTCTCCGGCCGACACTTCCCCTTTCATTGGGCCACGTAAGCTTCTTTAAAGCGTTCAGCGCAACTTCTCGGGAACCAAGATAACGTGGCCCAATAAAAGAGAAAGTGTTGACCGGAGAGTGCGAAAAGCGAGTGCCCCTAGTATTGTTCTTACATTTTTCTTTGAGCAATTCTAGGGGCACTCGCCTCCTGCACTCGCCGGCCAACCCTTTCTTTTTAATTGGGCCACGTTATTTTGGTTGCCGAGAGGTTACGCTGAAAGCTTTAAAGAAGCTTACGTGGCCCAATGAAAGGGGAAGTGTTGGCCGGAGAGTGCAAAAAGCGAGTGCCCTATCACTGTTTTTTTTTTTTTTTTTGACAAAAGTAATGGTTAGGAAGTTCGTAGGAATTAATTATTAGTAATTGATCTTCAAATCGGATAAACATTTCATACCCTCAAATGAAGCACGTAACCATCATGTCGCTTTTTAATGGAGTTCATAACGGTGGTGAAACTCGAAACTCTGACTATTTCACTCAAACATTTAAGATTTGAGATCAAACCATTAAGTCTAAAGTTCTGATTCGTTATTTTTCTTTTTTTGGGACTAAGTATAATTTTGGAAGAGAAGTGATTAGAACCTATCAATTAAAAACTTAGTGGGTATATTTTTCTTGAGGTTTATATAATCAATTAATTTTTTAGATAAAGTACGATGAATACAAATTTTAATTAATATGACTTTTAATTAGTTCATAAAATTCATTTAACATTTCAGTTCCATTCAATTTACTCGTGTAAAATGAGTAACAAAATAATAAAGACTTTTTAGATCATGAACCCATTTAACCCATAATTCTACTGACAGTCTAATGCTATTTCATCGATGTTGTAACTCTTTTAGAACGGTTTATAATAGAGCAATTGCCTTTGTTAAAAAAATGTTTGAAATATGTACCCCAAAAAAAAAATGTTTGAAATGAAATCATTCATTTATTATGATTTAGGTTAACAACGTTGACATGCAACTGTAGTTATAAATTTTTTAATTTTTTAATATTCAAAAAATATATAATATATGTTTTTTATATTTAATATTTATTTTAATTAATATTTTATATATTTTAAAAAATAAAAAAAAATACAACACAAATAA